TAGGTTACCACCTTTCCAACCACACTAGTTGTGCGAGACGTTCATCAAAAGATGTGTATCAGAAAGAATGTACACATATCTATGTTCACAGTCACTGTCCTGGGAAAGTTCTTAGAAATTATGTAAACAAGATTGAAAGTCTTAGTTTTCAGGGAGACATAAATGTATTGCTGAGAAGATACAACCTCCCAGCAGACATCATTGTTGCAGATAGGAAGAACTGGGACAAAGGATGCCAATGACACAAATGTGCAAGAACTCCAACAAGTAGAGACCTAGGTGTAATTCAGGGTTTTGCTACTGTAACTGAGATATAAAACTCTGTCACACCCACTCAAATCACCAAGAGATTTTTTTCCTGTTGATGTAATTTGGACTAAAGAAATATAATTTTCCCACAGATTATTTTTCAGATTTGCATAATTGTGGATGACATTTGAGTTACAGATTAGGATTTTTATGTCTGTTAGCACATGAGTGGGAGTTCAATGTTTCCTGTTCCAAAATGATGCAGTTATGTTTCAAAATTCTAAATACTGCCCAGGCCCTAGATAAGGAGGTAAGACTTGGTTCAAAAAGGCTGGAACTTAATTAGGAACATAGGCAGAAGATGAACTAGGAGAAGAGTCAAGGGAAGAAAAGAGAGATTTATGACAAAAGCATGTCTTTTAATCTCAGAAATATCAGAGTCAGATGGATTCTTCCTTCTGACTATGGAGAATAGATTTTGAGATCTGAACAAAACAGGGTAGCTGGAAGCATTAGCCAGAACTTCCATGAAAGACTGGAGAGGGTGGAAGACTAAAATGAAGAAATCCAGAATGAGTGGGAGGAAATGAACACATGCAATATGTGTGTCAGGAATAAACTAGTGTATTCCTGCTATAGTACCTTTCCTCTCTTTCCAAAAGAAAATCCCACAACTAAAAGGCTATTATCAAGTGCACACATGTGAATACAGTAAATTAACACAAAGTAATAAATTTAATAGGATCCAAATTCAGGTATTGTTTCTCAGACTGGACTCTCACAATAGGCATTATAACTAGACCCTGTAGAAGGAATGTTTGAAATAAAAGGATGAAAGCTATCCCACACATTGCTTACTCTCTCCTCAGAATTCTCTGCACATAAGCTGATGCTTTACATGAGATAAATGCTGCATAAAATGTCCATTTTGCCAGCCAACCAGTGACATTAAGGGAAAAATAGCACCACTGTATGAATTTCAATTTGCCCTTTAGCAATGTCCCACCTTTGCCTTTTCTATCACTTGTTTCATTTGCAAAGACTGTATTGCAGATAGAGAGGTGGAATAAGGCAAAGAATATGTAATGTAATTGCTTCCCATTAATTAAGAATGGTTAGTCCAAGCAATCTCTCTCTAAGTATCCTTCAATGAGATAACAAATGGACCTAACCATTGGTGATGAAAGAAAAATCAATTTATTTGTAACTAATGCAATTTTATTATAAAAAATGCTTCTGGAACACTGCAAGTTTGTCTGTTGACAAATTGCTTACTCAGATCTACTGACCTAAAGCAAGAATTTCTGTCTGACAGAACTGCTCTGTGCCAGAAAGGGCCTGGAACTGAACTCCTTTGCAATTGCTTCACACTCTCAATGGAGAACTACATCACTTTGCTTTTTGGTATTGAGTGTTGCTGACTAACTATTCTAGATGGTGAGCAGAGGAGTGTAGTGCATTTGTCTGGGGTAGTAGATAGGACGACACTCCCTCTCCCTACAGGAAGAGTGGCAGACTAAGAGCCCTTGGCCCTTGTCTTCTCTGAGACTCATCATCTAAGGAGAAATGAGCATAGGAATAAAAGAAGTGTTTAACTTCTCTTTACGCCCACACATCATAAGCAAAGGTTATGACAATCTAGCCCTAAGAACTTTGGATGAAAACATATCTGTGAGTCAGCTATTTGCAAATAGCTCTCTGGCCTTCTTTGCACTTCTCTATGGGCGCTCTGTGCCTGCTTTGCATGATTTGCCACCACCACCTCCCTCTGCTCACAACTTCTGCATGCAGCCAAGCTCTCAGAACCTTTCCTGGAACCTCTCTTTGGGGAGCATTCCATTTTGAGGTCCAGAATTTTTTGACCCCAGTGGACAAAACTTTGCTTTTAAAGTTTTTGTCATAAAATGTCAGCTACTTTGTCTCCTATTAGTGAACAGTAGTTTATCCTAAAGCTATCACTGTTGAAAATATACTTTTTATATTTATGAATTCAAAAGTCTTGAACTTCTAGGTTTTTACAAATTATAATAAATTTGAAGGGCAGACAAAATACCCTTAAACTTCTAGTTTTCTTTTCTGTCCCCCACTCCTTTTCTTTTGTTGTTACTGAAGCTGTTGAAATGCCACAGTTTAAGCAGACCCAGTTGCTAAATATATCCTCTTTCTTGGTTCATTTTCTTGCAATATAGCTACTTTCAGATTTCACAAGGATTGACTCACTTCTGACACAATGTTCCAAGATAAAATCCCACACAGTGTGACATTCAGACTTCATTCTTGATACTAGAATGCTCATCACCTGAAAGTAATCTTACTTCCTTTAGCTGACCAAATATGCTCCAATATACTCCTACACAAATCTAGTTATTACAATACCTTGTTGAAAAGTTATTTATTATAGATGCTGTCATGTCAGTAAAGCTAGTTGTATGCAATGCTAGTTTCATTGAAGATAGGCTAGAAGTTTGAATTTTGGAATTTTGGAAGTACCAGAAAATACATTTCATCATGCTTTTCAATAAAAAACAAATTATATTCACATATATTCACAAAGCTCTAGAAATAGTGTGTGGAAATATTTTGCCTTGCTTACGTAGTTATGAAAATAATATGAAGCCCTTCTGAAACACACAAAAATGTCAAGTTCACAGTTTATTATAAAAAATATTGAAAAAAAAATCATTCTATGGTTGATCAGTACTAACTAAAACTCTGTTCCTTACCAGAAGTAACTTTGTCGTGGGGAAGGGGTGGAAATGGAGAAGGAAAAAAACATACAGGGAGGGAGAGAGGAAAGGAGACAGAGAGGAACAAAAATTTAGCTGTAATTTCAGAAATGATAAGTCATGGAATTATAAGCATTAGAACACCTAGAATATTCTAAAGAGTTTAAAATGCTGGAAAAGAGGAACAAAAAAAGAAAAGGAGGAAATTATTTAAGAGGAAAAGTTACAGAATAAATGAAGAGCTACCTAAAGATACCTAAGGAAAAGTATTAGAGAAATAGTACACATAGACTGAAAGGACATGGATGCTGACATCCTCACTGAATGCTGTGAGCAACACTGAAATAAAGAAATTATGATTATATAAACGCTTCTCATGAAAACAGTTAAATGCAACTCCATAGTCTAGCAAGAAAAGAACAAATAGCAATACTCTGGAAACCATCAGGGAGAGAGCAAATATCTAGCAGGATTAGACATATTATGCCATCTGAGGATAGTTCAAGTAATGGAATAAAAAAATCTATTAGAAGAAGTACAGTTAATAAATATTAATTACGTATTTCTAAAGACCAGATCACTTGCAAATTATTTTAACAGTACTAGATGTATTGTTAGAAAAGGGATGGAAATGTTTTAGTATTTTCTATCAGCAGTTTCTACTATGCTACACTGTTAAAGTTAGCTTCAGTTAGTTCATGATGCACAGTGAGTTCTATATTTGGTGAAAATACCCAAATGTTCACACATATCTGCAGGTTCATCTTCTATATTAAGTAAATTATGTTCACTGACATCTCAAACCACTGAACCAACACCCTGATTCCCACGTTGCCTAAAAGGATAAAAACTTTCTTGAAAGGTATGTGACAATATCCCATTAAATAAAATTATTTAATTTTATATAATTTATATATAATATATAAAATTAAATAAAAATTATATTCCATCCTTCTTTTTAAGATTATTCAGTTCAGCTGATGGCATTTTTACTTTTTCACCAGTTGGTCTTTTCATTAAATGACTGGTCTGGCAGACCAGGGATGACTTTTACGAAGAAAATTCAAATTGACAGGCATGTGGAACGATGGAGGATTTGATATGTGATATGAAATCTTTGGCTGTGCTCAACACGTCTAATGAGGCTTCTCCAAAGTCACTTTTGTTCAAATAGCTCAAATAGTTTCACTATTCCCCTACAAGAAGTAGTCAAAAAATTAGTAGTAGTCAAAAACCACATAGCTTAAAATAATTTCTCAGAGATTATGTATTTTACAATTTCAAAACAACAAACAGTAAGAAATATCCTATGTACCCAGTTCAAAGAAAAATAGTTGCAGATGGCTCTAATTAAGTTTGCAGAGCAAGATATGCTAGGATTTAACACAAAAATAAGGAAGTTTATTTTGCAGGTTAAAAAATATCTTTCAGAGTCCGAAATGTCCAAACCTCTCTGCTTCAGAAGAGCTGTCTGGATATTGAGAGACTTATACACATAGGACTAAACACCAGACAAAGACCAGAAAATAAGCAAAATTAAGCCTTATCTAAATCTATGCTTATATAATTAGCTTATTTTCTCATTGTACTCCTGGAATATTTCATAGTTAACATTTTGTATCCAATCGAGTGCAGTCCCTGACATCAGTGCAGGGGCATACATTTACAACTGAGTACAAGGTAGACATTATATAATCTTGTATTTCAATGAATGCTCAAGAAAAAACTTTTAACAACTTTTTTTTTTTTAAAAAAAAAAAAAACAAACTGTGGGAAATTAATGTGTCAATTACAAACAACGAAAGAAAAATGTCACTCAAACCATACTACTATTCAATAATCTTATATCTGGGTGTTGAAGACACATTTATTTAGGTTACAGATATAAAATTTGGGTACAAGGAAAAATGATTTTATCATTCTGCTTCACAGAGTGGCATTTGAAAGCCTAACACAACATAGAAGTAGTGTGGAAGAATACTGATATTAAATTAAAAAGTGAGAAAAAGAAAACCTTCTACTTACACTCTTGCTCTTCCCATGTAGACTCCAAGTATTCTTATTCATGGTGACTGGGACTAAATCAGGGGTGTTTTGCAAGTCAAAGGTGAGGTTTTATCCCTTGATCATCCAAATAGCTTCTATATGGAAAGAAATGAATTTATATAATTAAAACAAAGGCCTTTCAATTTGTTCAACATTCACTTGTAAGATACTTCATCGGTGTATAAAAGCTGCACACATCCCAAGATCCACCAGGGCAAATGTTTCATGTATCACTAGTTCATTCTACACATAGTCACCCTGAACCATACTGCAAACATATCCGTGAACAGATCATGCTTTACAAGCAATAACAAATGCATACCACCTTAAAAAATTGCAAAAGATTATGAGCTTCTGATTACAGGCTTTTCCCCACAAGTATATTTAACTAGACATTGGCAGTAGTGTTTGCAATCATGAAATAAGGCTTATTGGATATTTTTATCCAGCTTCTCAGTCTAATGGCATCTTTTAACATATATGCTATTCAAACCAATGCATATGCTAAAAATTCAAAGAAATAAGGTCATCTAGATTAATTTTCAAATCCAGGAGCCTAAGAATGTTTAAACCAGCAGTGGGATACTTTCATATAGTTGTCAGAATTTGACAAATTTGCCATTGTATTAAAACAATAACTGAGCAAAAACCCCTAGCAACTGATGATGGCATGGCATCCCAGTATTGAAAAGAAGCATTTGTCAGCCTCTGGCTACATGCATTGCAATAATCATGGAAAAGGGGAATTAAAGGGAAATTCAGATGCTCTGAGATCAGGCAGTTAAAAGATTTATATTCTCCTTTGAGCCAGCTACATTTCTGCACACATTTTCTTCCTTAGCTCAGCCAGCCAAAGAGGAGATAAAATATGATTTCTGACCAACAGAGATGCTACAGTAAAATCTCCTAATATAACATCAATTATATCAGCAAAAATCAGCATCCACAAGAGTATTCTAACATTATTTTTATAATGGACACAAAAGTAAATAAATCATAGTTCAATCTATTCCAGCAATACACACAAGAGAGTAATACACTTATCTAATTAAACTATAAAATTCATAGAAGTCTAATAAAATACCTAGAACTATGTATGAAATCAAGGTATAATTTTATGGCTTTAACTGATGAAAATAGTACTACCACATTAAATGGGGATCAGATATTTCTTTTACATATTACATGACTTTCTGTTTTAAACATTCTCAGGCATTTTTCTATGAACAACCATAATACATCAGTCCACATCACAGCCAGAAAACAGGATAGCAGAGCTCTTAAAAATCTTAAAATCAAGGAGGAAAATGCAGGCTATTCAGTATTAGGCTGAATTCTGGAGAGGTAACTTCTTGTCCTGTGAACATTTAATTGAAGAGACTGAAGAACATTCCCTAATCCTCATTTTTCTGTGGGTGCAATACCTAGAATTTGCACATAACACCACTGAACTAGCCCAGAGGTACTTCCAGCAGCTAGACTGGTGCCATTTATTCTAACAGGGATCTGAGTCACACAGATAGATGCCCTTCTTCCAGACCTTACAAGCTTTCCAAGGTTTCATTAAAGTATTATGGATTTTATTCCTGTTGAACATGGTATGACCAAAATATTATCCAAAGAAACAGTACAAACAGAAGATACTCATTTTGGACTACAAGCAGAACAATATATATAAACTTTATTTCATCACCTTAGTCATTAAGCCTAAACAATAACATATAAGCATATATAAAAAATGTAAGCACAACAAAGACTAACAAAAAAACTGGTGACTTCAAATTGAAGATTTTTCTGATACTGCTTATTTTCTAAATTATAGAGGACAATGAAAATGTAAATGCTTCTTCTGAGCTGGTTGCTCAATTACATTTTTTTTTTTCTGAACAGGTGATTAAGAGATGACAAAATCTATGTAAACAACTTGCCCTTATGATCTGTTTATAGCTCTAGTTTTCCCTGCTCTTTCAAGATATTTTCAGGGTGTGAAGTTCCATCAAGCAAAGTGGCACATTCATACAGAGCAAAATATTACCACTTCAGGTTCTAAGAAATTTAGAAAAAAAAATACTAGAGAAATATCATAAGAGGAGGAATAAAAAACAACAAAGAATTCTGACAGTCTGCTTGAGCAGATTCCAGGGTAAATCAGGAGATTTATGTTTTTGTGACATCTGGATATTGTTGTTGTTTATTTGCATGCATGCATGTTTGTCTCTTTACAGAAAAAGCATATTTAAAGGATGCTACAGAACTCTGCAAAATAGGAGTTACTGCACAATTTGATGGACTTATGTTCTTCCAACTTGTTAGATAACCTCACATTTTTTAATAGTATTTATTTTTTTAAATCTCCCTAAAATTTGTGCAGGAATGCATTAAACTACCTGGGAAATGCTTGTGCTATTTTATCATATATGACTTGACCTTGAACAATTTCTTGAGTGCAACAGCTGTCCATGACCCATCTAACAGGCATTTAGCAACCAGAAAATAACATGCAGACATTTTCTTCCATCAGGAACTAACGCTCTGCATGCCTATATGTTGTGTTTGCTCTCTTTTATACACTATGTGTAAACTGGCTTAGGTACCTATCTAAAACCTGAGCAAATGGGTTTCAATGTAGTGATGTAGAATGAAGTGATTTTGGGGAGAAGGCTACTGGAAGCTGGCAAGATTATGGTTAGTAATACTAAGTCTGACTCTAGGGTCACCTGTGTCTGCAATAGCACTGTGTTTAACAAAATACAACACTAGACTCAAGAGTTTTCTCCCCCTTCCTGTTTGACTACCATACAAATGTTATACTTAGTCATTTGGAAATATACATGATCGAGAAAGATTTTCAACAGTGATTTGGGTTGCCAATCACTCCTTAAAATCTTTCTATAAAAGTTGCAACAAAGATTTGAGATAAAGCTTAATCCCTGTTGCCACCCAACATCCATTTACATGAGTGAGATGTAGAACTCATACTGATTATCTCTGACATGTCTCTATTTCTGAGCAGATCAGGGCTGGTAAGGTAGCCAACTTTCTTTCAGTTAAATAGATAGGGGGAAAAAAAACCACATTATCATACAGGACAGAGAGCTCTTGAATGATCTTCTGTCTCTCCAATCTGCTGTAAGAAAACTGCCATTTCTCTGAAAAAATGTGTTTACAGACTTTAACCTCAGAGCCAAGCAAAGTACACTCTCTTTACAACTTTAGATAAAGATCCAAAAGGCCTGAGCTTATATCTGCAGTGTATGACTCATTCAGTGTCCAGGACCACTTCTGGAACTCTTTAATGTGTTTTGTATCATTTTACTTGGACTTGTTTCCCTAGAACAAGCACATACAAAAGGAAATAAAAGGAACTTTTAAAAAAGCCAAAACAAAAGAACAGACACTCCAGTGAATCTGCTAAGCTTCACTGAAGAAATTTTCCAAAGCAACAGGCTGTGAAAGACCTAGACAACTGGAACAGATGTGAAAGAAAGGCAAAAGCTTCATCAGTACATGCTCTCTCCTACGCTAAGCAAGCCACTATTTTCCTAGTGTTTTCCTAGTTATGACTGAGTAGGTGTCTTGGTTTGAAAAGACAGGTGTCTGCTAAGTAAGGCAGAAATCTCTCTTGAAATTAAAAAAAAAATTGTAAACCACCCCCCCACATGAATTATTATAATCTTGAAATCATGGTGTTCTCAGGCAAAGATATGGGAACAGGAATAACAGTTCTTTACTAAGGAAATTAAAATTAAAAATATAGTAGTACAAAATCTAAAACGAAGAAAAAAATAATAAACAACCCACTGACAGAATACAACCTGACACCCTGTTGGTTAGAGTGCTGGTAGGAGTCTGATTAAATGGTGGCTGCAGCCCTCCTGGAGTGACTGATGTGGTTCTGTTGAGGCAATGAAGGGTGCAGTTTTCCTCTGAAGGTCCAGTGGTGTAGTTGGGCCCAGACTCACCTCTGGGAATCCAGTGGAGAAAGGCTGCTGTGGTGTTTCGAGCCCCTGATTATATTCAGGTAGGAATGCTTGGCTCCTCCCCCTGGGTGGAGCATCTCACAATGGGATGAGGTAATTCTATCAAAGATATCCTCCCTGGAGGGAGGAAGGGTCGTGGAAGAGATAAAGAACACTGCCACACCTGGTTTTAAGAGCTGGCCCCTTAATAGAAGATATCCCCCAGTTATGAGGGGTGGGTTATGAAAGAGATAAAGAACACTGTCACACCTGGTTTCAACAGAGTGTAATAGAATATGTACTTTTGGAAACATCTTGCATTTCACCCCAAGACAGTAGGAAAATTTGGAGCCAAATATATTCCTACTGGTCTTTTTTTTAAAACTCTTCTAAAGCATAACCCAGGAATCAGTCAAACGTGCCTAGTTAGACTGGCTTTTGCCTCCTTTAATTCAATGATCTATTTTCTATAGATAGAAATTTTTCTCATTGTAGATATTTTTCAAAAAAAATTCAATATTCAAAAAGCATTTACACTACTTTTAAAAAAATTATAATTGGCATAAGTGTGAATATTCCATTTTACACTTGGCTTAATGCAGAACAAGCAAGACTATAAATGCCATACCAAAAAAGTCATTGCTATATGAGTTTAAAAAGAAAAAAAAAAGATAAAAACCTTGTTCCTATCATTTTTAATTTCCTTATATTCTCTAAATTTAAAAACACTACAATAAAAGCTAGTGTTTCAAAACTACTTAGAAGTTAAGTGGAGAAATATACTATATATAATATTAACATCTCTGAAGAGTGCATATAAATGGCCTTTAGACTTGTCAACTAGACTGAATTAAATCATAACTGTTTAGTATTTTAGTGGGGTTTTTTTAAACTTCCTGATCCACAACAACCTCTTCTGTAGGCAAGAATGATACATAAACAGTCTCTCTCCAGTGGAGAAAATGGTAATTTTAACATTGATCCAGGTAACATCAACATTTAAATTCAGCAGAATAGACATAAACTCTTCTCACACTTGCAGGACCATTTTTCTTTAATTTTTCAAAGCAAAATCATATTTACCATGATCTGTTTTAACAATAACGCCAAATAATTTTACTGTCAGCCCTTGATTT